AGCTTCTCACTTAAATCAACCAGCTTAGAGAACAGAAGTAAATCAAAGAGTGGTAATTACTTGGCAACCTAAATTTTTTGTTTTTGATTATTAAAGGGTGATTAAAAATTATCATGAATATAAAAGGTGATCAGTTCACCACATTTTTGAACTTTATCAAATACCCTCTACAACCAAATTTGTTTATTCATATGATTACTTGGCAGAATAACTTAAACAAGGGAAAGTTGTTCTGTATTCACAATCTTTTATGGCGTTTATTATACCATACCACCATACATCCAATAAATATGACACTGATAACACATGTACTTATGGAAAACTATCAAATAAACCTCATTTCCTAAAATAAATATTCAAAAGATTATACAAGAGAAACATTTTTAAGCCTTTTTTTATTATCCTTCTGCATGGTGTAAAAATTCACATCTAGGTCCACTATATTTCTACATTTAGTTTATCTGAGAGCTCTATTTTCTATCTAATACGTCTATCTTTTTTAAAAAAACTTAAAAAGCACTTGGCTTATTTATGTGCCAAGAAAATGATAGCTGAAGTAAAGCCAATCTTGTTATTTATATTGTTACAAAATATCAAAGTTCAAGTAACTAGTTTTTTAAACTCAGTTGGCTAAGTTAAGAGAACAAGATTTCGCATTAACATTATATATTTTTGAATCGACTAATAACTACACAATGCTACACACTGTTGGTCGATTGACAAGATTAATCGAATGCCACTCATATCGACCAGTAGTGCTTGCTAACCAGATTGAAGTGATATAAATAGCGGACGACCGTTCCGCTCGTCATTGGCTGTATGATGTATCTGATCCAGCTCAGAGTTGTAACTACCGAAACCACTTTGTCGTGGTTTGAACTCAAGAAAAAGAACTTTGCTTCCTACTGCATTATTATTATTATTGTTTCCTTTAATTCCTACAGGAACATAGGGCTTCAGCCGTGCGTCTCCATTGCGTTCAGTTCTCTGCTAGAGTCTTCATCTGGCTCCAAGTCTGCCCACACGTTTTCATCTCCTCTTCACATGACCTCCTCCAAGTCACCCTTGCACTGACGACCAACTCGCCGCTTCCCTTTCGGGTTCCACTCGAGCAGTGGCTTGTCTAGTGATGTCACTTGATGGATTGTTTCCTCAGAGTATGGCCAGCCAATCCATCTCCATTTCTTCCTGCCTATTTGTTTCACAATTGGTTCCTGGTTGGTTCGCTCCCAGAGATCTCTGTTGCTGATCTTTTCTGGCCATCTGATCTTGAGTATTGAGCAAAGACAACTGTTAATGAAGGTCTGTAGTTTGTTTGAGATGCTCTTTATGACGCGCTGATCAAAACTCCCTTGAGTGAGACACAGTCACAAAGCACTCTGAAGACAGCCGAAAGGTGGTTATTCGCCATAAAATCTGTCGTTCTCAACAGTTCCGTCAGGCAGCTATATAGGATAGATAAGGTTCTGGTACAAAACAAATTCCTAGAATCTGGTAGAATATCCCTCTTTCAGCAAGTATCACACACCAAAGCTTCCCGCGGACAGTTCAAAATAATAATAACCTCGATCCACTCAAACAAAATCACATCGTACAACACATTATCGGTGTATACACAACCACAAAATGAAGCATGAAAACTAAAGACTGAAAAAGGATCAAAGACAAATAACAAGGACCAAGTGAACATATGATACGCAAATGTCAGAACAAGGATATACAGTCTAGGAGAAAAACGGACAATAATTACAAAGTTGAAATACCCAATTAAATATGATAAATATTGTAGTTAGACCGTTCAGGTAGGATTTTTCAAACAATTATTTCGTTGCACTAGCTACCTTGTCAAACTAATAATACATTGAGGCGAAATTGCGATTTTCAATTTGCAATGTAACAGTTGAAATTTCATCACAGGTTCCTTCAGAAATTGAAATTATTCGGGTCACAACAAGTGATCTTTTCGATACAATGACAGTTGAGAAAGCAAGTATAATTGCATAATTCTATATTCTACTGATTTATTTATACTGATCGTTCGGTGTTTAGGTCACTTGGTTCTGGCTACCAAGCACTTCTGGTTCATATCAGTGGCGTCCAGCTACTCTGAGGTGAAATTTCATCTAGAACTGTGTCAACTGCAAATCTTCAATTTATTTGTGAATTAAGAATCTGATTATTATTATTATTGTATATAAGCATGTACAGTGTGTTTATTAAACTTTAATGAGAGATGAACTGACCCTAAATCACTACTTTTTTAGATGACAGTTGAAACTGACGAAATGGTGTTATAACTTCTTTGAAATAAAGAAAGTCATATATATCTCTTAAGATGAATTATCTGGAAAACTTTCACCGTAATTTAATGAAAAATTCTCATTAAGGTGGACAGAATATCAAAACAAGTTATTTAGCGAAGTATCTTTTTTCAGCGAATTTATTATCAAGTTGTACAATCGTACACATGTCATCTATACATGATTTAGCTGCCAATATCCTTAAAAGAAGCATCTCACAGCCCTTGAAAAGAACATTCTCTGCACTGTTGTTAGAATAGTGTTTTTTTCAGTCAATCATGACTGCTCAATAGTCTGAAGGGAAAGATCCTGCAGCTGAACAACCCTGTGTGTTTACTAGTTCGTCTGCTTTTGTGAAACTAAGTATATTGGTAGTTCGATGTGATCTTGTCCAGAAGCTTGCAAGAACACTATCCTGTGAGGTTAAGAAGACTTTGGAGTGGAGCTATAAGAATACCTTTTCGACACTGATCACCTTATACCTGTAACCTCTTCCTTTAAAGTTATTTATAAGGCGAAAAATTGCCGGCCAAAATCACTACGGGTCCGACTCATCCGTATTGCCAAAGCTTTGGCCATCGAAATAGGAAAGCCAGAGCTCTGTGTAGAGAAAAAAGGTTGTTGGACGATTCCTTCTTTTATGTTCCTAATCCGTATGTGTCAAAATATTATAGCACCTATTTCTACCTTTGCCCCATTTCCTTTTCCTTTCGTTTATTCAACCTATCTTTTTCTTTTCACTATCTACAAGTCCTCGTATTATTCTACTTGTCAACCTTTATTTATTTAATTCAGTATGTTGTCTTATCAAAACTCTCACCTTCTTGTGTAGTTTTTTCATTACCCAGTAATCTTATTAATTCTACACCCCGTTTTCAACGATTCATCTTAATTTACCAAATAAAACGGTGAAAGTGAGCTGAGGTAGCTGTCTCCAATGTCAGTTTTGTGCATTTTTCTATATTTCTGCTTTGCAACAAACAGTCTACCTGCTAGAAGTGAAGTCTAGATTAAAATGAGACAATGATCATTTCACCGTCAGCATTTTTTGTGCTAAAACTTGTGTCATGAGCTCACACACAGACTTTTGATTGCGTCATTAGTTATCAAATGAAGTGATATTGAAATTCCACATATTCTTTATTATCTGTGTGCATGTGTGGATATGTTATAAAGTTGATTTTCATTTCCATCTTAAGATATGACATTTAAAAACTAAAAGAAGCTTTTATGGTAAATATGTGGTGAGAGATGGTTGCTAGCCAAATTGGTAGACAGTAATTGACGTCAATGTTTATGTCTCAAATATTAGTCATGTGAAAACAAGGTCAAAGATGGACAGCAGACTTTGCGTAGGCGGATACAGTCAGCATATAGATGATCTGACACAGCCACAAAGAGATGCAAGGTTAACTTTCTGTGAGAAACAACCAATCAAAAGACTGTATTTTCTACTAACAATAATCTACAATAATGTACATTAAAATCTATAAATATGTGTTGATTTTCCTTAATAAACGATCTGTTGCCTGGCCCTTGTCTTCTATTGTTACAAATATACAGTAAAATTTGGAAGAGCAACAGAGAGATTGTAAATATCAAAGCTTACTGAAATCATTTAACAAATTCCTTTAAACAATCTTACAATGACATTTCATGGAACTTTCTATTCAGACATAGAGTTTCTCAGTAAAAAGTCAAATATTAATTCATATTTTACTGAGCTTGTCGACAAGAATCATTGGTTTTCAGAATGTAAACAAGAGAATAAGAATAATTGTAAGCAGAAAAATCTCTATACTTAAACTTTGCACGAGGACGGTTTAATCTTCAGCAATTTATTGACAACTGCTCACAGAAGAGATGAAATCAAGTGAACTATTTTAACTTTGGAAACTTATTATCAGGGAATACTTGACATAATTACACGAGACTATGTACTACTGGTTGACCAGTATAAGTAGTTAGATAGCACTCACATCAACCCATAGTGCTTGCTAGCCGAATCGAAGTGATCCAAACACAGGACGGTTGTTTCGCTGGTTTGAGGCCAAATTTATCAGCGGCGAATCTGGTTAGACTCAGCCCGCGAAGCCGAATCAATTCAAAACAACCGGAATGAGCTCTACGCCAAACTAGCGAAACCGCTGTCCACTGTTTAGATCACTTCTATCTGGATAGCATGCGCTGCTGGTTGACCTGAGCGGCTTCTAACAAGACATATCAATTAATTAGCAGTATACAGCGTCATGAGTCCACACTTGCAATTTTGACTACTATTTACGGCATCAAGTAGACCACATCTTGCGATCTGAATAATTTCGGCTTTCAATGGAAACTGTGGTGATGTTTTACCTGGAATTGTGAAAACTACAATTGCTAATTAATTCGCAGATTGCAAATTTGATCCAATACGTGTCATAGTATGGCTGAATAAGCGTTTGTCATAGTCCATCTCTAAGCCTTCTCAGAACTATTATCTGTTAAGTTTCACAGAAAGAACACTTAGGAGCTGCGTATACTTTGATTGCCTCTCTGACAATAGATCTTTTCTAGAAAATTCTACTAATTATTATTGATAAAAATATTGATATAGGTGTGACTTTTACCCTGTCAGCAAACAATCCTTGTAGTAACTAACTGGATACAACAATAGGCGATCAAAGAAGGCACAGTAAAATGAAGTGTAAAATTACTCACCGTCGGAACCATACAACCACTTTCAGCTTGTAGACTTGGACGATTTTCATGCGGATAATGATGTACATAGCATAACCATATCATTCGTTCATCAGGCATTTTGGCAAGAAGACTGATTTCTTTCACTGATTCACATGATTCCTAAATATTTGTCAAACGTAAAATATCTTAGTCACATTATATTTATGCATACAATGAGTTAAACACTTAAAGCTAAAATTAGCTATTATTGTTTCATCGCTCAAGTGACGAATGTAAATATACCATAATTAGAAATTCTTGATTTAACAAAAAATTAAATATTAGGATGCATCAGTTTATATAGAAATTGAAGGACTCAAAATGTTTATGAGAGGAGTGTTTCCTGATGCGAAATTGATTAGATCAGAGTTTCAGTGACATTCCAGGCTTAACATTTAGTATTAATTGGAAAATTCTGATTTCTTCCTCTATTGGAAAATCTACTTCAGGTTGCAAGGTGATCACGTTCACACGTGTAGCCAATGAGTTAGCATTCAGCGACCCGTTAATTTTAACCTGTAGTTATTTGCCATCCAATGAAATCGATTAGTGTTGGAACAGACCTCACGGAACATAACTTGTAAGCATTTGGGTTTTGATTGATTTCAAAGTATTTCCTATGATTCTGCAAGTGATATTGATTTGTGATGAAAACTACCTTTATTTCAGTTAAATTCCTACATCTTTATGTATTATTACTATTATTATTTATCCGTTCAGTTCCAAGTGGAACATAGGGCTTCAGCAGCACATCTCCATTTTATCCTGTTCTTTGTCATTGTTTTTAGTCGGCCCCACGATTATCCATAGGATTCTCTTTATATCGTCTTCTCTGTGTCACCCTCAGACTCACATCAATCTCATTGCTTCCATTTGGGTCACACTCGAGGACCCGTCTTGGGTGTGATATCACTTGAATTTTTCCTCAGTATATGTCGAATCTATCTCCGTTTCCATTCCACATATTATTTTGGTTAATGGGTTGCTGGCTGGTTCACTGCCCTCCTGGGTTCCTTGTCGCTAGTCCGTTTTAGCCTACTGGTCTTCAGTACGGAGCAAAGACAGCTGTTGATGAAAGTCTGCAGCCTGCTGGAAACGCTTTCCATGACTCACGCAGCAGGTCTCTGAACCAAGGAGAAGCATTTACTTGACATTAGTGCTGAAAATCTGAATCTCGTTCCTTGTGTTTAGTTCTGTGAATCTCCACACTAACTGCATAGTAATGATGGCGTGTCTCTCTTTTCCAATTTTGACTTTGACATCCTCATCCATGTCGCCTTTAGTTGCACTGATACTGCCTTGGTAAGTATCATCTTAATTGGACACCACCTATTTCCTTATTGCATAATTGGCAATCGAACAATATCAATCCGTCCTCTTTCACCGTAACAAGACCATGTATCCAATAATAAAATTCTCTCCATTATTCTTGAAACTGCACTGAATGATTATAAAGCCTAATGCAAAACTCAGACTCTAGTGGAAGGTAGTCACATTAAAAATCAAACCTTCAGTGATTTGACTAACCAAATGGTTTTAGAATCAAGGAAACATACAGCTGCCAAATATATCTGTTTTTATCATGATTTAACTTTCTGCAGTTATTCTCTGATCGCTTCAATATACAGAATATCCGAAATTTTCTAGTCCTAGCATAAACCAGAAAACCACTGATGAAGTTTTCTCAGAGTAACTTAAAACTTGAGGATTCTATTGCATCCCTGCAGTTTTTTTATTCCTTTACCTTCTCAGTGGAACACAGGGTTTCAAGCTGAAGCTTTGAAGTTGCGATAATAGTGTTTACTTTTACGGGATGGGGTTGCTAACCGCATGCCCAACCTTACCTCTTTATCGGTCTTATTACTGGCTTAGCGAGGTTAAGGAGTGCGTCGGCCGGGGATCGAACTCCAAACCACCTGTGTGAAGGTTGGCAAGCATTCTACCGCTAAGCCACCGGCAGGTTTTTGTGCATTTTAAACAAAGGATGCATAGTGTTAAACCTTCTACTAATTAAACTGGATAGAGAAAGTAACTAATTAGTTTGTTTTTACTTTAGGCGAAAACGTAGGAAACATAGTTGCAAAATAAGAAATTTAATGAATGACACTTGTCTGTCATATTTTTGTCTGTAGAAAATATGATGTTGTTCTTTGTCTACCAAATCTCTTTTTCTCTTCCTTTGCTTCACTTGGTGTTCTTTTTTTCTGCCAATTTTCTCATCATCTTTGTCATTAAAGGTATTCAAACTCAGCAAGATAAAAAATTTTCCTTTTCGTTCAAATTCATCTAAATTTTAATGACTAGTTAAACATTATTCTACCAAGAAAAAAACACAAATTCCATTTCATATTTGTACGCTGGTGCTAGCTGTTTTTCTAACCTCTAATTCGTAAGTACGATTATTAATTTGTAACGCAGACAAACTATAATAGGCTAATAGCTGTCAACTCTGATGTGTGTACAGCTAAAGAGACGTAGACTGTAATGCTAACGTATTACTGATGCTTCCCTTGGTTTAGGTATGTAGACTATTCACTCTCTAGCAAGGTAAACATTAGTTACGATTATGTCGCTAGTACTTAATATGATATCAGAATGAATTATCAAAGAAAAAATGATCAGTATCTAAAGATATGGTTCACTTATACGTTGGATCCACGCATATTAAGTGTTTGCTCATAAGCATTTTTTTGTCTGGATTACTTTACTTCAGTGGTGCCTATTTTATACAGCAGTTGAGGATTTTTGAGTTACATGAACGTCTGCCTAGAACTTTTTCCAGCCTCGAAACTTATTAGTTTGTAAATGAAGAGGATTTGATAGTCACATGTTGACTTTATCACCTTGGTTCTTATCAGTTTACAGAGAGAGAATGTCACGCTTGAAACTTACTTGGTGTTGGAGGATCTGTTAATTAGACTTCCCATTAGAAAGTTGATTGTCGACTGATTCCTCTTTATTAGTTTCTAATGTTTGTTAACCAGAAGACTAAGGAGTTAAAGAAATCATTATTTACGCAAGGTAGAACGAATATAATTACGAAGAATACAGATTGTTATTTCAAACCAAACTATAGAAAATTAATTTGATGCTTGCTAGTGACTTGCTACAGGATAGAGTTCCTGGAGTTCTAGCGAGAAGTCGTGACCAGTGAGGTTCAATTAGATGTGACGTGTGTGGATGGATTCACGGAATCAAAGAGTTAGAATATTGGTCTGGTGGTGGTTTGCCGAGATTCTCAAACTAGGATGAAACAGCAGCTGTCCAGTTCTCATTGATTTCCAATGGTTCTCTAACTGATATCAATCCATGATCAACTCGTAAAAACTTCTCTTTGTTGATGAGTATGTTTGTCAGTTAGCTCAGAGAATTCCTGAGCATCGCCAAACGGTCAGATGATATACAGTTACACTGTGAACTTCAATCATACACACAACTTAAAACAGGCCAACTAAGTGGGACCCAACCCCTTGGAAGAAATGCCAACAAATCGATACTCTAAAACCAAGTACATTTCATTTTCACACGAACACAATTACACTCACTCTCATTAGGATGATAAAATTCAAGCTGAGATAGTGAAACAAGTGACGAGGAAATCCATTTCATCTTCAAACCAATAATATCTCAGGCTGGTTTAGATTCCAAAGGAAAGGTAAACGAAGTCACATGGTGTAAATTTATAATAAAACCTCGCCGCTTACAGGACACTAAAATGTAATACACCAAGTGGTTGTTTTCACGAGTATATTCCTATCTCTTCCTACTTTCAGAAGAGAATATCACTCAATACTTAATAGTTCTGGACCTCGAATAGATTATATTCTATTTGTTTATTGGCTAAGTTGCATTTCCTTTTTGACTGCTTATTTTGGACCGAAGTGTTTTTGATCTTCGTCGACATGCTGATTCTTGGTGATGGTGTTCTTAGCAAGGATGCAGGTACATTCGGCTGACGAAATCCAGATAGGACAAAATGCTCATCCTGGATTCCACTGCTAATGATAACTAAGAAAAATGACATATTTTACCTGTAACAACTATTTAGATTTACAAATGATCCTATTTCTCTTCCTAATGAGGAAGCAGACTGTTCATTACAGCATTAAAGCAGTAAAACAAGAATTATACAAACTGTTTGACGAATGATTTCCTGAAATCCTGGTATCTGACAATTACTTCACTGTCATATATATTTATTTTTTTACAGCTTGATGCCATAAACTTGGGAATTTCGAATATTTCATCTGTTTTAGAGGAATTAATTTCTGGTGTAAATTCGACCAAGAAAAAGACGAAAGAAAACTTTGAACCAACTTACTGAATCACGACATTCTGAGAGAGATTTCTTTGATGGTGGCAAAGTGTATTCATCCAGCTGCTTTAAAGATGTCATATGTAGTTTCAGCAATGTTCTTCTAAAACATTATAGGGGAAGGAAAGAAGGAAAATTCCGTGAGCACTTCTTATGCTTCATGAAGTGATATAATGAATAACATTTCTCCACAAATTAAATTTGACTGAAATTACGAGTAGCTTTCAAATTTTACTTAACTTTGTGTGCAAATACAGTAAGTCTGTAAATATGCTACTGTTGTGGAACCAGTGTGTAACGTTAGGCTTAGACATCAAATTTCACAAATTTAGATAATAATTTTAAACTTAAGGGGTGAACTTTTATCGATTTCAAAAAGCTTCATGTATGCAGTGTGGGATAAATAATATTTATACCTGTTATTAGTCAGTTTGTGAGTATTTTTAATATTTATGAATAGGTTTTCCTGCAAACGGAAGTATTTCCATGTGTTTAATGAAGTTTGAAATATTTCAGTATAGTATTTAGATAAAATGCACTTTTCTAGGATGCATGAGATACTTTCATATTTGTAATGTTTAATTAGTTGAAATGTAACAAGCTTTTGACATTCTGTAATTTAATTGATTGTGTTTTAGGTATTATATAAGCTCTTTTATTTTCTAAGAAACCGAACTTATTGAAATATTTATGCATAGGTATCAGTTATTTAGAATAACTGCAGCATTCGTGTTTGAGTTTGCAAAGGACGCAATATTAAATAATCACCCCGGCATGTCATAAAACTCTATAAGGTCGTACAGTGGTAAAACATCGTGACCTTGGTTTCTGAACTCATGCTTTTTCCATAAAAAAGGTTGACAGACATGTAATCATAGCGATCGACTTTCAAAACATCCGGGGCAACTTAAGGAGGCGATGTGTTTTCTGAAACTGTCTATTCAAACCAAACACAAACCAAGTTTGAATCAATAATAGCGAACTAAAGGAAATACAATGCAATAAAAACAAGTCAAATATTTCAAGCTGACTCAAGCACAGATATCTTAAAGCATACAGTGATTGTCTATTCTGAGAAGCAAGAAAGTGAATAAACAATTGGACCTTCAAGTTACTGGGCGATCACACTGTCCTTGAGGCATTAGGGCCGAATCCAACAGTACATGAATTCTGATTTTTCCTGCCATTTCGTGATAATAAGTGCTACTTCCAGCCAGTGTTACGCGCTATTTTGTGATGGTTATCCAGATGATATGAGTTCTTGATGAAATGTAGGAAATAGGTAGGACTGAAAAGTCGGATTCCTGCCAACAAACTAATCAAGAATAGTAGTACTAATCAACATACATTTTGTATTCGATTCTTTCTATTGATACATATAAAGCTCTAATGCGGAAAACGTGGATACTGAAATCAACACTTAGATTGACATTCGAAGAGTAATCCGATGAACAAGAATAAAGTTAGCTAAGCAATCACAACATGATTTGCAAATTTTTAACAATTCTTAGTTAAATTTGATTACATTAAATTTAAGTGTGCCTTTTCGCAATTGGCGAATTAATTTGCAAATGGTAATTACCAGTCCCCCAGTGTATCTCAATGGAATTCGAGCAGTTTGAACTAATTCCGATCTCTGAGCTGAGTTATACAGGTTACATCGCTGATCAGCTGAACGGCCGTCCAATGTTCAGATCATTTCGACCTTGCCAGCAAGTACTATTAGCCAATGTGAGTGGTAGTGGTATCCAGCTAGCCATATCAATCAAGCAGTAGTGTATAGGGTGATGCGTTAGTGTGCCTCCTTCTTTACTAATTACTCACTTTCAAATTTTGTCTTATTTTTTGTCTAGAACGTTTCCTATACTACGAAGAAAAAAGTTATGTGTCATTGGTGTAGCAATAATCTGATTAGTGTAAACTACACAGTTGTCTCTCTCTTGGTTTAGTGTACGCGTCAGGTGAATTTTGCTCAGCTATCCTACAGCATCTTTTATCTTATCGAAGTCTGCTTGAATTCGCCAAATATATTATGCACAGTCTAAGTTTTATAATATCAGTTCTGTCTCTGTCTGTTTTCGACATAGGGCTTTGCACCGATTTGCAGCAGTTCAAGTCACCACATTCCATGTAGCACACGAAGCAAGAGAAGAAAGTAGAAGAAATGCAAAATAGAGACAGTAAAAAGGGATATGAGACAAAAGGAAAAGTAATAACGAAAAACAATATAGTTTCACTGGAAATTATAAGTCACAAGGAGTGGATGCATCTACGCCATTGAGTACAATGTAGAGCCATGTCACTGATTGTCTCCAGCCATTTGTGTTTACCATTCCGACGACCCTAACCAGGAATTGTACACATTCCTACGTGGTTAGCTTAAACTAACTGTTGTGGATTTTGTTGACTGATGAAGCCATGTTTTAGTTTGACCACCGTTAACTGACCCTATGTCAGCTAACATTGCCCGTCGAAGAAGGCGATGACTAGGCATACGTAACGCATGTCCTAACCATCTCAGTCGATGTAATTTCACAGCCTCGTCGATTGATTTCTCCTCTTTACCTAGCACTCGACGCCTAAGCTCAGTATTGCTTACCCTACTATGCTTCATACGAGAGATAGAACGCAGGCACTTATGATCAAAGACAGCTAGCCTTTCCATGTCTTCCACTTTCAATGGCCAGGTCTGACAGCCACAAAGAAGGACGGAGCGAACTGCTGAACAGTACACACGTCCTTTAGTCGATAACCGGATATCATGTCTACGCCAGAGACAGCGTAAGCTGGCATATGCGAAACGATCCTTCTGTATCTGTGCTGAGATTTCGTCAGCCATCAACCATCTGGTACTGGCTGATGCAACTTCCCACTCAAATAAGTCAAGTGGTCAACACGCTCCACCAAGCACTTCACTCCCTATTTCTAAGCTAGGAGTCAATGTAGTCCAGTCCTGGCAGTTAGTGTTTTTTAACACACTATGATGCATAGCAGAGTCAATAACTGAATTTCAGTTGTTGGTCAAGAGTCAGATTTAATCTTTGAAGCATATTGAAGGACCATTTGTTTAACATAATGAACTGAACGAGTGGAGAGATAAAGTCACTTGTATTGCGATTTCTGGTACAAGATTTATTACTCCTGCCTCCAAAAATGAAGGAGCAGTAACGTTAACTGTTTTAAACTTGTCAACTTGCATAAAAAAATCAGTTCGACTCTTTCTAACCCACAGTAAGTGATTTATGTTTTTTAGAAAATATTCATTTAAATTAATTTTGTGACCAGGCAACAAAAAATGTTATGCAACGAATTATGTTGGTCACTTGTTCACATTAAATGTATTTGATTTTTTCTGTGACGCAGTAACCATTAAGAAACATGTTCTTTTCAGCGGCATGGAAACATTCTATTGGTTCTAACAATGTATTTACCCCTGCAAATGCAAGTGAAATTGCAGATAGATTGTGAAGGAGAGTTCTCCAATAATGAACACATGAACTTAAAATATTTCAGAAGTAAGGAAAAGGATGATTGAATATGCGGTAGAAAGCAGATTGAAGTCCTTGAGCTGTCAGTTGCATATCTGGACTACTCTTGAACAGTGTCCTTATAAAAATAGCTTTCTTTGTTGCGTAAACTGTCTTTTCAAAGGGTAGTTCGTCTTTATTATGACAATAGAGTTTTCAGAATACAAGTTAGCCAGTAAACTGGCTAAATGCACAGACTGGTTATTAATTCACGCAGAATATCGAAATACACTTAATGTGAATAGATATCAGACAGCTTCGTTGCAAGACATTAATGTCCGATCACAAAATCAATACTCATTACTGTTTCATATCCCTGTTTCATGGAAATTTAATTCCAAGTTATTAAAAGTCATGGGAGCAGTTTGGATAAAATATTCCTTTGTTATATTAAGTGGAATTTTAGATCAAATCACAAAAATCACTGTCTCAATGAATGCCAGAACTTAATAAGACCCAACGTTAATCTACAACTTTAGATTTATATAAACTAGATCACAATATTGAAAAGTATTCACACATAATTTCACTGCATAATAAATTTCCATTTTTAAGTAGTTGTAAATGTTTATAATTTCACAAATGAACATTTACGTGGAGGTGTATGCTATGCTGAGTATCAAGATGAGGGAGCTATTCAGAAGGAGAGACTAATGGTCACCTTTTGCGCAACTTCAAACATGTCATGTTAGTAACAGGCTAGGCCTCTAAGACACCACACACTCTAGACAGACTACATTTTCTGAATTAACGAATTTCTAACTCACTTCTTGATAAATTTAGAGTGTTTTGGCTTTCATTAGGTGTTCGACAATAATATAATACGTTCACTGAGGATGTATACTTAAGTTAATCCAGTATAACACTTATCAATGTGTTCAATAAGTTTACTTGTTCAATAAGCAAATTATAAGTGTAGCTATTTAAATGATTAAGATAAAAACAATAATCTAGTCTATACCACTCTAAAAGTAATATTAATTATTGTTCCAAAGTAATAATTTAGTAAATCAAACACTAATGTCAAGTATATACATAAGTGGACAAAGTTCATATCATAATTTTAAAAAATCAGAATAATTTGTTGCTTGAATTATATGTTATGTAAATATTTAACGCGATAACTCATCAACACAATACTGCCTGTCATGCAGCGAAAGCGTAAACGTGTTTAATACATATGCCAGAAGTTTCTATCTCAGTGATTATGAAAGAAAAGACTCTGAAAATTGTCTAATATCCCCTGAACTTTCATATTTCATCGTAGGCATTTCATCACCAGACACGGTGATTTCTTCTGTTCTTCTTAGTGAAGTTATTACTGATGATATCATCACATGCCAGATAATGAAACGTCGACAATCAAATACCAAAGTTCATAGAGCATGAAACAAATTTGCTGAATGATTGTACTGCTCCAAAGTAAACATAAAAGGCTTAAGCTTTTGAATTATTATTCCCGTGGTTTCTGAGTGAAGAACAGAGTTTATGTTGCACACCTCCATTTCATATTGTTCTCTGCAGTCTTTTTTGGCTGGCTTCATGATTGCCTATTTCTCCATCATATAGTCCCCTC